CAGTGCAGGAATATACTTCTGCTTTTGTTCCTCACTACCTTAAAGTGTCAACAAGTTGTTTCTTATAATCACTTGTTTTTACCTACTCAATATCTCGAATTGTCATCAGATTGAAAATTTAGAAGCCAAATGAATATTGGTACAAGGATGAAGTGAATGAATTTATTCACCAAAATTATGAATCGGTCCAATCACAAGACTTGTCTGAACGCTCACTGTTGAACGGTAACCACTATCGATGGCCTCAACCTCTCGAGCCAGCAGTCCGTAACCAACAAATGAAGTTCCCGCACATCCATAGCCCTTAACAATCAAATGCGTTTTGAGCTATCGATGAATCCAAATGATTTGTTAAAACGAATTTTTGAGACGTAAAATCTGATGTAATTTGATCGAATAACTAACGTGATATGGTGCTCCCAGCAAGCCCATTCGACCCAATTCAGGAACTAGTGTTGGATCGAATTCTAGAAACAAAATTAGTCGTTAATCCACTTTTTCAAGACTTCTATGTGAAATTCAACGGTGACATATTGTCACTGATGATATTCATTAAATTTTTATAACGATTAACATATAACACTGGAATGCCAGTTACCTAACTCTAGAAATTTTGACCTTATGTTTTATTGTTCGGAAATCACTTCAGTTAGTTTAATGGATTTCTCATTACGTATCTTTGCGTTCATTTTGAAGCTGGTATAGCTTCTTTTAAGAATTACTACAAAAAGTTTTACTTTCTTCACGATATGCCTCAATGACCCTCGGTAGTAATTTATCTTGACAATATTCATGTGTTTGTTCCATCAAAGTCCGTTCATCTTCAGTGAGCTGACTCCTCAGATCCAACGCATCCTGATAATTGAATGTTGATGACGCTATAAATAATCACCACACTGTTACGATGTACGATGGCATTATTTCCTTCTTATTATTAGACTTAAACAATATTTGAGAAAATTCAATTTTCATGCGATGAAACGAAACATTGAAGACTGACAAATTCCATGGGTGGGTTGAGTTCACAGTTTATCTCAGAAACTGAAAAACGTGATATCTAGATTCGAGAACATCACTTCATTTCAATGCTAGCAAATGAATGAATACCTCTTGAACAAAACGATGTCGAAGCCATCGATTTGGACAATATTGTTGCCGCTC